CAGCTAAGAAAGGCCTGGGTTTGATTCCCAACTCGGGGCATCTTTTCTCGTGTGAAGTTTGTATGTTCTCCCCCCTGTTCTGCACGAGTTTCCTCCGGGTTCCTCCAATTTCCTCCCATAGATAACAACAACAACAAAAAACCCTACAATTGAACCGGTGTTGGCCGAACATCCCAATGCGGAAAAAAATACCTTAAAATTACTCAATCAGGATTACACGCAGCAGCAGCAGCGGCAGCATCGCTCCCTCCTGCACAAACCTGGCAAGGGGCCCTCCTGAAATAGAGTCTTGAGAATCGGTGAGGTTTTCCCGAGTAAACAGGCGTCATGTTAAAACCAAGTTGTAAGTTCAAATCAGTTAGCGGTTGACTCAGCCCATCATACCTCTGGGGCAGATTAAATCAAGTACTGTACTGTACTGCATTGTGTGAAATCAACAGTGTTTGAATATGGACATACACACTGCAGTGTTCACGTTAAGGCACGATTTATTCATACGAGGAATACAATGTTGTTTTAGGAGCTATTGTATGTTTAATTTCCCCAAAGTATTTTACCATGTGTATTTTAAAATCCACATCATCAATCATCATTTGCGTTTTGGATAGATGGATACAATTTTCACAGGTTGATTTTTTTTTACATTTTCAACATATAGGGTAAACAAAATAAAGAAAATATTCCTACTGGACCAACAAAGTGACATGATTTCACCTCTAGTATGTATGCTGCGCTTATTTTGCACCGTACATAGCCAATCAATTGGGAGGTTAATCGGAGGTATAACTGCAATTTAACCGTGCTCGAACAGTGCATGGAAAATGCGGCTATTTCCCTTACAAATGTTGAAAACCAGGGTATCCCAAATGTAACTGTGATGGAGTGCCGTCTGTTAATCACATAGCCGACCACAGGCCGTCGTGCCCTTGAACGGCAGGCACGGACACCGCACGTACATCGCGCAACTCCTGAAGCCGTCGAACTGATCATTAAACCCGGTAACCAGTTAAAATGTTTTGACAGTTGCTCTTCAAATGCCATACGAATGAAAGATCTCTCTCTCTGTCCCCCTCTCAGCCCTGCCCTGTCCTTGTCGAGGCTCGCGGGAAGTCCCCTGTCGTTCGGGAGGACTCTTTGTGAAACGGGACTTGAATTCTCGAGGTGGTGGTGTGCACGGAGAATTCGAGTAAATGTTCTCTCTCTCTCCCCCACGGCCACTGCACAGAGATGTCTTACTCCAGGTGGCGTCACGCGGGGCTGCAAGACGATGGGGCATCTCGGCATGGGACAAAAAAAAAAACCTCACGACCGCCATCCTCCAATGCCTTGTCAATAGAAATGTAGGTACACCATTCATAATAAAGGTTTTTGGGTTAGGTCACGTAAGTATAAATGTGTCATAACCCTCCACCACCCGACACAGCCAATAAGGTTTGTCACGTAAACAACGCGCCAATTAGTTTACTACTTCAGCCCACCAGCGTGTTGGAGAGTAAATCCACCATATTCACAATTTGAGCAAGACGTTTCGCTGGTAATTACATCCATAAACCACTTCGTTGAGCTACCATTTGTGGTAGCCAGGTCGCTTCTGCAAAAGAGCTATACAGCTCGGTGGGGCCTTAACCTGGTAAAATACAAAAAATAGTTGAGTTTATAGTTCTAACCGGAGAGAGTCGAGGTGGTTCATTGGCCAGGCAGCTCATCAGCCATGGCGCCCAGCAGCTACATCCCGCTGCTGTGCCGCGTTTCAATTCCGCCTCTCAAGCGAAGCAAGCCGCCTCTCGCACCATGTGCCGGTCGCAAATTGAGGTTTTTTTTCGCTTTGCACCTTCTAGCCTCGCAATTACATTACAAATGTGTCACTGGCGGCAATGCCCACAGGATGAGGAATATTCCATTCAGAGATTCTCGCAGAGAGTATAACCGGAAAATGATGTCACGTAACATTATCCAAACTAGAGGCTCACCCTCTGATAAAGAATCCAGAATTTGTCGCTCGCCAAACCAACATGACATTTGTAGTTCTTTGAGCTAATTAACAATATTGGCACAAGAGAGAGGAAAGTGGAAACAAATGACGAAAAGTGGAATGGACACCTACTGGCTATCTGCCCATGGATTGTGATGATGATGATGATGACAGCTTAAATACACAGGACTGAGTGAAATACACAACTTACAGTCATGATCTTGTTGTGAAATTTCTGGTGACTGAGCCGAGACCATCAACCAACTAAAGCTCGGATCCTAGCTTAACCACGGGCGGCTCATTTCTGGGTACAAACCGACAACCTCGAGCGGCTCCACGCTCTGACTCGGTATCTGCCGCCGTGACCACCCCAAGGGTGTGGGGGTTCAGTCGACCCTGAAGTCAAACACCGCGACGCCCACTCCACTGTTCCCTCGTCACGATGCTCCTGGCCCGGGCGAGCACTGCGACAATGGAATGCGTAAAAACGAGCCACACCGTCTCGAAGAGCCAGACTTCGCGGCGACCCGTGGGTGACAGCCCAGCAATGCCGACGGCTGTTTGACACGTGGTGTAGCCTGACCTGACCCTCTCACTGCGAGTACTGATAGCTCAATTGGTGGCTTCGTGACATGGCGGAGAGAAAACAAAGCTGATAAGAGAAGTGTCTGCAAACTCAACGGGGTAAATATTGCCACGTGGCACGAAGACAAAGATCGCCCGTTTAGACTTTAGCGGCGAGTGTGTTGTTAGCAAGCGCCTAGCAATTCCGTCACAGCACGAAAGCGACTGGCGTTTGTAGGCAACTTTGCAGCCATTGGCTTCACAGTGCTGCCGATTATACCTGGGATAAGGCACTAATTTAAAGCTTGATCGACAGCCTCAGAAAACACTCACTGGGTTGATGTTGAACTTAGGTCACTGGGAGCGCAGGGCAGTGCATGAAGCACCATCCTACTGCTCCTCAAAAAGAAAAATCCCCTTTACAGCCTTAACAGACTGTTGGGCAAGTGCCGATAGTGAACACCTCTGAAGGCCAGCACGGCGCACTAAGGGATGGGTGGCCAGCACAACGCCTTTGTCTTCCTAATGGCAATGTTTATATACCGCACCAGGTACTCATTTGAGGCCAAGCCGACCTAGGGGAGGCCCAGGACCGGTTCAGATAATCGTAACTGGTGTTGGCCATGAGCGGCAATCAAACTTGGGTCGCTGGGTTTGTAGCGCAGCGCGCGCGAACTGCTACACCACTGCTCCGCATTGCTCCCCACGTGCTCACACACACATATGGGATGCTGGGATAAGTGCTGTTAGCGAGCACCTATATGGATTTGGCACGTGACTCAACTATACAGTATGGTCAGCACGATAGAAATCTGGCTGCCTTTCCTCTTAGTGACCTATGGAATCAGGCACCCATTATAAATTCACGTGAGCTAGGGGGGCTCAAAGCCAGGTTGGATTAACCATGCTGGGATTAGGCCTGGCCAGAAATCATTCTCAGGTTTCAGAGGTCACAGTGTGATAATTAAACAAAAACTAAACTTATTTGCTTATTTTACCAGGTAAGGCCGACTGAGCTATGTAGCTCTTTTTCAGATAGCTCAACGAACTGGTTTATCATGCAAAAAAGTAGAACAGCCAAATACTCTGAACGCACGTTGATTCTAAATGTGGAGGGGAAGACTGGAGGACGCAGAGGAAAATCCACGCGGCCACAGGGAGAGAGACATGCACACTCCTACTATACAGGAGTCATAGTGAGGGTGGAAACCCCCAGCCTCTGTATACCAGGCAAGGTAGTTAACATCTAAAAACAGATGGACCGAGATTCCAACCCAGCAAGCATCTCACTGGTGCTAGCTCAATGCTATGACAACGTGCATTGGGCCCTCTAAGTCGCCTGGCCACTGCCAAGGCCAATCTGCAGGTGAATCGTGGCTGCCTTAAACAAAAAAAATCTGGCCCCTTCCATAGGAATGGGGAATTTTTACCTCCTTGCTCACAGCCATCAACAGAGATGAGTGACACCCCGTGTTTGTCTGACGAGGAAGAAATTTTACTTTTTGACGTAAGGTAAGTGTGAACTGAAGTCAACGGTGTGTGTGTGTGGTTTGTCCGATTGCAGAACGGTTCTCTAAATCAAATGAATATGGAACTTCACCACTGGCTCAGAACCGCCATTGGAGATCAGCATGACTCCACACTCATTTGTGAAAGAAGCTACATTTGCTACATGCCTGCACTCACAGTGGTTGCAAGCTAAGAAGGATGGAGCCTGGACAGCACTTGGATGGGAGACCGCTGAGTAATACCAGGTGCTCTACGATTCAGGCTGCAAGCTGGCCATGTACGTATGCTGAACTTCTTTCGCACCGTATGTAGCCAACCAAGCGAATCGGAGTTGCTTGTGTGGTGGGTGTTTCTCGGTGTTACTCCTTGCTCTCCTCCCACATACAAAAACGCAAATGAATGCAATTGGCCCAAAATCCCAATTGTAAGGTACCTCGAGGATTTACTGAGCAATGGGCATCATCATCATCAAAATCGTCAGTATTATTAGAGTCTAGTAGGTTATAGCAGGTGCCAGGAAGAAAATGGGAAGTTCGAATGCCATGCGCATAACGGAAGAACATTCACACATTCAGGCATGCAGGTGGGCAGCAGCATACACACGTTCACACACACACACAAAACAAAGACAATGATCCCCCGTATAGGTTTTAACACTTGGTAAAAGTGCTGTTAGTGAACACGTATGAAGACTGGCACGACACATGAGAGGGTGGGTGGTCAGCACTACGCCCGGCCGGATTTGTTTTCACACCGGACCTAGGGGAGGCCCAGGACCGGTTCAGACAATCGTCATTGGCGTTGGCCGTGAGCGGGAATCGAACTCGGGTCGCCGGGTTCGCAGTGCAGCGTGCTAAACACGACACTGCTGTTCCCCAGACACACACACGCAAAACGCACACAACCCGCTCAGACACGCAGGCAGTCAGGGACACACAGACACACATGCACGCACCAGCCATAGCAGAAGATGGCCAGGTAAATTCCCAGGAAGGTGGCCACCGAGTGGCGGACTGCAGGGCTGGCATGGCTGGGGTGCAGGTAGAGCCGGAACCAGCACGCGGCGAGCAGCGCGAGCAGAAGGCATGCCACGAAGTTCACCTGCGCGCGCCGGTCAACAGCAACGGGAAGGTTTCAAGCAAACGCGCAAAGACCAAGAGAATGCCTCGTCAACATGAGCGCAGCGCGGGTCGGAGCGGCACGGCCACTTGGGGCGGCGGCGGCTTCTCTCGCAGGGCCTGCACCGCCGCGCAGCGGTTGGCCGTCTCGTCGAAGGCTCATTGGCCAACGAGCCCCCTACGAAGTACTGGAGAAGTGTCAATCCACCGATTAAAATGTAGAGTTTGGTTTATAAACATTAATTTACGCCGTGCACTGATTACACAATGAGGGTTACAAGAGCCGACAATAGTTTATTATTTCAACAGTAAGTCTGAGACCGATTCATTCAATAATTATTACGCCCGTTTTGCCTTACAAGGGTTTCACCACCGACTCCGTTTGGCACACGACAGGCAAATTCAAACACTCCCTTAGGCACAAGAGCCCAGAGTTTAATTGCTTTGGGCTATGCGAGATGGCACAATGTTGACTCAGCACGTTACACAACATTTCATAGTCAGGTTTGAGTTAAAAGCCTGACCTGCACTACTTGATCCACGCGGCCACTCATTTACCACCTCGTACACGACAACAGAGACCCTGCGGTTTCACCGACCCCTGCCATGGGAATGTGGAATTGCATCTACATTATATGGCGGACATGAGCACCATCATATTTTTCGCACAAGAGGCCGGGTGGCATTACGGTTACAACCCTGTAACTGCGAGTTCCAAATCCTGCTCACTCGACCCATTGACCCATCATCCCATCTGGGTCGATAGTGGGAGGTAAAGTCACAGCATGTGGAGAGACCGACACTTCCGCCGCCACGGAAATGTGGAATTCCGACAACTGGCTCTGGGCTACCGATGCCTGCGAGCGCCGACCCACACTCATTCGAGCAGGGAGACGCTTTGACTTTGTGGTGCACAACGAGGAAGAGCAGAGGCGATCCGGTGGGGGCAATGACCAACAGATCGGCTGCAGGAACGGGGAAACGGCAAGTTAACGCGACGCCGGGCTGCAAAACCGCGCGCTCCATGCATTTGGGGTCATTGAGGAATTCGCCCTCCGATGCTTCCAAATGGAAGTGATTTGCTTCTAATATGAGCATTGAGGTGGCGCTCACCCCTCCTGTTTGCGACCCTGCGCCAGTGATAGAAATACCGCAAGTTCAAGTTGAGTGGTGCAGGGATTTCAACCCGGGTTTGGCCAGATTTCAGGGGCAGCTGTGCAATCCGCTGCGGCAAGAGGACTCGTCACAATGGCGGGACCTTGCGGCTGCTGTTAACTCATTTGAAGCGACCGCCTGAAGGACCCAAAAAGAGTGACTTCAGGGTGTGCCACCGCCAGTGCACTGAATCCAGACCTCAGCCACCTGTGAGTAAACGGGGTTCTTAAGCCGCGCGAGCTGCCAGTCTCAGCTCGATCATTAATGGCTTCAAGAAAGAAAGAAAAAAAACACCCAACATTAACTTTTTTTTGTTATCTCATCTGGTTATTTTTGTAATCAACATGCTCAAATCAATGTGCAGCTTAGTACGGTCGTCCAGTAATTGATAACAGGGCTGACACCATCAAACTCATTGCGCACAAGAACATTGTGTAACCAGAGAAGGCTGCCGGGGACATGAACCCAACATCTCAGCAGCGCCGACAGAGGGCTGACACGGCCACCATGAACCTCTCGAAACACCCAACCAACTCCCAACCACCTGTGTGATTATTATTTTTATCTATAGCGGGTGTAAAGTTGCGGATTACGTGACCTATGTTAAGGGTAACTTTCATCAGCAAACATTTACTCAGCTGCATTAATGCGTCACTCTTTAAACATTAAATCATCGAGTTGCCTACTTCAGTACTTGGCAAATGTTGTGACAACAGTTCATGATAACCGCGCAGGGGTTAATCATTAGCATGTCAGCAAGTATTGACCGCCTGCGTATATGTTTACATTCTCTAGATCCCCACGTGTGTTCAGCCAATATACTTTACACTCGCCATGCAGAGCACGAGCGCCTGTTCAATGCACATGCACGTCGCATTCGCGCACCATAAGCTGCGTTTGTGACCTCTGCCGAGGTACGCAACGGCACTAGTTTCTCACGTCAGATGTAAATTCTTATATCAAGCCGAGGCGGCAGTCATGCAGTCAGAATTGGCAGTCGCAGGGTTATAAGTTCAAATCCTGGTCACGGGTCCACTCAGCAAAATCATCCGGCTGGGACTGATGGAAGAAGATGAAAAAACCTTTACAGCTGATTTGTGTGCAAAGTCAACAACAGAGGTCATCCCAAGGACAGCCGAAACCCTCCATGGGAAGCTGGTATTTTTACGCCCGCTGGATCGGGGGTGCGAGGGGCCCCGCCAACAGAAACGAGCGGACGCCCCAACGTCCGCACACGGCGGCAGGAAGACGGTTCCCGCTTTTGTTTCTTTGTAAACGCACGGCACTGTACGTGCATCCGACGGGCGCAGGAGCCTTCACATCGCCAGACGCAGCTGCCCTCCGCTGCGTCTGGCGAGGCCGCGTTAAAGTGTCCGCACGGCGCACGGTCGCACGCACGCACGCTCACGCTGGATCCTCGGCCTTTGCATTATTCATCGCTCGAGGTCATCCCGATCTCGGTCGGGTTGACGATTCCCGCATCCGGGCGCTTAGCAACCAAGCCCCAAGTCTCGTCTGTCCTTGGGAGGCCCCGGAGAGGATATTTGTTTCCGACTACGCCGGGGGGCGTCGAGACGCGCCTCGTACAGTGTGCGGTTGGAGCATTAAGCCGGTGGGGCCCGGGGCTCGCAGCCTCGAGCAGGGGGCACCTCGGACTGATGAGGCCACGGCACCGGGCGGAGGAGGGGGGGGGGCTCGCAAAAGTGCTGACCCACCCTCGCGCGCGCTCTCGCCACGCTCGATTCGTTTATTCACCTCTCGGCGGGAATAAATGAGCGGATGTATTTATACGCAAAGCGAGAGAGGGTACGATACGCACCGGTTAGCACGTCGTGCTACGAACCCGGCGACCCGAGTTCGATTCCCGCTCACGGCAAGCACCGGTGACGATTATCCGAACTGGTCACGGGCCTCCTCTAGGTTGACTTCGCCTCAAATGAGTACCTGGTGCGGTGTGTAAACATCACCACTGGGGGGGGGGACAAAGGCGGTTGGGCGTGGTGCTGGTCACCCACCCCCTCGTGTGCCATGCCGGCCTTCATAGGTGCTTGCTAACAGCACTTGCCCCAACTGTCTGTTACAGGCTATATGGGGGATCTTTGTCTTATTTCGTCCAACCATGCGATGGCGTCGCCGCGATCGGCAGTTTTGAGCACTTGAATCCCAGTCGATGGGTGCGCCCACATCATCCCTGCAGGGTCGATAAAATAAGGAGCCACTGTGTGTGAAGGCACCAGCGGTTGTGCCTCTTTATAGAACTGTGCCCAGCACGTTACGAAGGTGGAACTTCCACGACTGGCTCAGGGCAAAGCAGCAGAGAAGAACGCCATCCTGAAGCTTTGATCGAGCAACACTCACGCACAAATATCCTCTGTTCTCAATACAGACTGCGCCCGCAAGTACTGTAAGCGAGCACACGTTAAGAATGGCACGGCACACAAACAGTAGTATGGATAAAACCTATTCTTTGGGTCTTTCGGTAAAGTCACGTAGATAGGTTCAAAGAAAATATTTTAAAAAACTATGACGTTTCGATCGCAACACAAGCGGTCGTCATCAGGAAAAGCGGGTTAGCTTCTAAAGGCAAACTGTTCTTGAAGGTGTGAAATGGGCGTAGCCCAAATGTCAGCAGCATGGGCGGGGCAGCTTATGTTAATGTAGGTGGTGGGCGGCGACCGCGAAGGCGGTGGGTTTTCCACCAATTAAAGGGCTGCCAGGTAAAAATTAGCATGTTAATGTAAGATCGGTGAGCGGCCTCCACGGCGAGCGCGCTGAGGTGGCTATGTTAATGTGAGAGATTAGCATGTCAATGTGAAATTGGAGAGCCGAAATATAACTAACATCGGAAGGTGGCAGGATGGGAACATCACAGCCAGTTAGAACTTAAACTGGTTGATAACGTCCTTCCAATGATTGCTAAGTTTGTACTCATCTTCTCAGTTGAAACTGTGTCTGTGTCTGTGTATATGGATGGCTTCATGAACGAATCTTTGTTAATAGCCAGTGGGTTTGCAAAGTACCTTAGAGTCTTAGAGAAATCAATTTCGTGAGCCCACCGCATTAAAACAATGATCAGCCACGGTCGAGGTATTGGTCCTACCTTGTTTCAGATCTGCCTTATGTTCACGCACACGGTCCGAGACATGTCGCTTAGTTTCCCCAATGTAACTGCTGCCGCAGACACAGCTTAGTTTGTAGACGCCGAGATATTGCATGTCAGGGATCACATCCTTCACAGATGGGATCAGATCACGAATTTTATGTACTGTGTTAAATCGAACCTGGATCTTGTGTTTGCTCAAGATTTTGGAAATCTTAATGGTGACCCCTGCTATGTATGGCAAGGTGATGGGTTTTGATTAGGTCCTCAGATGGTTCTTTCCCAACGGTTGGGGTGATAGCTTTACTGATTGTGTAGTCTGAATATCCATGAATCTTGAGAGCTTGATGTACGTGTTCCATTTCACTGGCTAGGTGGTGATGGTCAGAAATACATAGAGTTCTATGGTGTAGAGTTTTGATGAGGGAATTCTTCTGGGATGGATGGTGGTGGGAGTCAGGTTTTAGATAGGCATCCGTATGGGTGGCTTTCCTGTAGACAGTGTCCCATTGAGCCATCTTACCCTACAAGATTTCTTCTGTCTCCCCAATGCTGACGTTTCCCACACCACAGCGGTTACTCATTTAGTGCTGGGTCGACTTAAAGGATCAAAACGGGATTTGATTGTCGCTTGTCGATTATGTTATCCTCGGTTTGGGAAGCGAACCAAGTTATGTCGTAGCATGCAGACCACTGCATCTCCACTCCCCTAAGCAGACACGAGCACA